ACTTTATAAATTGGCTAGTTATAATTACTTGGAAAAAAAGGCACTTTTTGTTATTTGGTGCTAGTCCTAATGTTGGACCCTGATTATCTGTTTGCAATCGTCTCTTCTCTTTCAGACTGCTCCATGAATGTCCATCATAAGTGCCAGACTAAAGTGGCCAACCTGTGTGGCATCAACCAGAAACTACTGGCAGAGGCTCTTACCCAAGTCTCAAGTGTAAATATTAATGTTTGCACAAGGTTGCACAAAGTTATGAGACACTTAATGTACTCTATTTCAACACATTATGTTTTGAAGTTGTGTATGTTTTTGTTGTCACAGAAATCCACCAAGCGACCTGAAAGCAACTCACAGAGCAACTCACAGGATCTTGGTGTTTACCAGGATTTTAATAAAAGTCCTGATGTTAATGGTAAGTATGATTGATGGTAACTAATTGTGAGAATTAAAAATATGATTCTGATTTGACAGCAATTTTTATATTGTAGATGGGGCTCCTTATGGTCATCTGTGGGAGGGTTCGAGTCCTCATCCCCCCTCTCGAATCACCCACCAAACACGTATCACTACTGAGCTTTTCATTTTCCATAAAGTCCTGGGTAAGGGAAGCTTTGGCAAGGTAACACACAACTTCTCTCTCCCTCAAACACACATTCATATACACTTGTGCTCAGGGTCACACACACAACACACATTCATCATCTTCCTGTTGTCAGGTGCTGTTGGCTGAACTAAAGGGCACTGGTGAATGGTTTGCAGTGAAGGCATTGAAGAAAGATGTGGTGTTGATGGATGATGATGTAGAGTGCACCATGGTAGAAAAACGAGTGCTGGCTCTCGCCTGGGAAAATCCGTTTCTTACACACATCTACTCCACTTTTCAGACCAAGGTACACCACAGACATTTACACAAAAAACAGCCACAAAATAGTAACACACACAGTTGTATGTATGCAATTGTGCCTGTCACATTTATTAAATTATCATTGAGCCATTTAAAAAATGTAATTCTGTTTCTCATTATAATTCCAATTTTCTACTTCAAACATTCTCATTCAAATAAGGCCCTTTTATACTAGACAGATCAAGAAATGTGTTTATTATTATTATTATTATTATTATTAAGACAGCATGGATGTAGTTTCAAAGCTAAACACAACTACATGTTGATCTTAGCTCAATAAAATAGGACAGAACATTAATATGAGATTTTCCAAGGAATTATCAGTTGTGGCCCAGTGGTCTATGCTCATGATGTATGTAGGTGACCTGAATTCAATTCCTGACTCATGTGAAGTGACGTGTGACCCATACTCGGAATTTGTGCTCTGCATTTAACCCATCCAAGTGCACACACACAGTAGTGAACACACACACCCGGAGCAGTGGGCAGCCATATTGCTGCGGCGCCCGGGGATCAGTTGGGGTTTCTTTGCTTTGCTCAAGGGTCTCACCTCAGTCGTGGTATTGAGGGTGGAAAAGAGCGCTGGTTATTCACTCCCCCCACTGCCGTCTAAATCTTAGCAACAGTGCCAAACAATATGTTAATGGAGAATGTCATTAACGGTTATTAATTGTTAGCATTAAAAATCACATTAATTTGTTTATCTTTAACAGGAGCACTTATTCTTTGTGATGGAGTATCTGAATGGAGGAGACTTGATGTTTCATATACAGGAAAAGGGGCGTTTTGATCTGTACAGAGCCACGTATGTCACACATACGCATATAAAATAGTTTCAATAATATAAAAATATAGTTGAACCCTTGATTTAATGGGCATATGTGGCATATAGATGGCACCAAAGTAATTGTTCTGAATGGAATTCTTCTGCCAGGTTCTATGCAGCCGAAATAGTGTGTGGCCTGCAGTTTCTCCATTCCAAAGGCATTATTTACAGGTACACAACTGTTTCACCATTGTTTTGTTGTATTTGTTAATTACTCCACTCAGAATTCATAGATAGGCTTTCTGAATTATTTTCACTGTTGCTCTCTCCTTTTGCCAGGGATCTCAAGCTGGATAATGTGATGTTAGATGGAGAAGGCCATATAAAAATAGCTGATTTTGGAATGTGTAAGGAGAATGTGTTTGGGGACAATCGGGCCACAACCTTCTGTGGAACTCCAGATTATATCGCTCCTGAGGTATGAAACACACTTTGATGTTGGTTCACTCTCAGGCCGTAATGTCCTGGTATTGACCCGATGTGTTTGTGTGTGGGAAATCACAGATACTGTTGGGTCAGCAGTACTCATTCTCAGTAGACTGGTGGTCGTTTGGTGTGTTGGTGTATGAGATGCTGATTGGTCAGTCTCCTTTCCATGGTGACGATGAGGATGAGCTGTTTGTATCGATCCGAATGGACACGCCTCATTATCCCCGCTGGATCACAGTGGATACTGGAGACATGCTAGAAAGGGTACACATGCACAAATACACATTTAAAAACACAACACAAATGAAATGTCTACAATTACACTTTATATGTATATATATATATGTGTGTGTGTGTGTGTGTATATATAAATATATATATATATATATATATTTATTTTTTTGTTTGTTACATCTGTACACAGCTGTTTGAGCGTGACCCATCATGCCGTTTAGGGATTGTGGGTAATATACGAGGCCACCTATTCTTCAAGACTGTCAACTGGTCTGCTTTAGAAAGGAGAGAAGTTGAGCCCCCCTTCAAACCAAAAGTGGTATGTTTTCCCTCTCGCATCTTATTATCTTCTTTTTTGTCTTTGTTTCCTCATTATTTTTTACTTTTTTTATTTTATATTTAATTGCAGAAAGCTCCAAATGACTGCAGTAACTTTGACCGGGAGTTTTTGAGTGAGAAACCCCGTCTTTCGCACTGCGAGAAAGGCCTTATTGATTCCATGGACCAGAGAGCTTTTGCTGGGTTCTCGTTCATTAACCCAAGAATGGAGCATCTTCTACAAAAGTGACACACTTACAATGTAGTCAAAAAGAAAAAGATCTATTATGTTCATGTGATTGTAGTATTGAGCCAGTTTATTGCTCCAACCAAACCAACCATGTGCACTCTCCCAGCTCTTCCTTTAAAAGGACTGAACTCTAACCTAAGACACGACAGGCCCTTTGTAACCTAACATATAGTTTGAGCCTCCTCATGGTGCATCAGTGAGATTGCAGTCTTGTTGCATTTTAGGGTCCCCCAATCTCAATGCAATTTTTAACTTGTCCTCTCAAAGTTAGGGTGTCTAAAAATAACTTTGCTGGGTTAGTACAAACTTGACAGTTGAATGCAGGGAGTGCTGTTAGTTTTGTTTGGGAAAAGAGCAATTCAAAGAAGTGTACAAAAACAAATTAGGTAAGATATTATATACAAGTATTGTTTAAATCAATATTTGCATGCTACAGTCATGGATTATATTGTGCATTTCTGCTGTGATGTGGGTAATTATGTTTAAACAAAGGATTGACCTGAATTTGTGTTGAATGTGTGCTTTGTAAGTGTTGTATATATTGTATTTTAAATAGTTTGAAAACAATGTGTATATCTGGTACAGAAACATAGCTATCTTTAGCTCAGAGAGTCATCTGTTTGTGTGTGTTTTAGTGTGTATATTGTTGCATTTTAAGGTGTTTTTTTAATAAAATGTACTTAAGAGTCCACATGATCAAATGCCATACATGGCTCCGTCTTACAATGAGAAACTTAACATGGTCCAATAAACATTTTGATGGTGAAAAAAAACTGACTTGGACTAAGATTTATTTTTATTGTCAGATTTCGTTTTTAGAATGTCACTGGCCTTTTAGGTTTGTAGTAATATTTATACACCTAAGAGAAAAAAAGAAAAAAAATCATAGGTCAGTATAATAATTTTAGTGAAAAGATTAACTGAAAAAAATGATTTCTGACCTTTTGGATAGAGGTTCACATGTCACACGTTTGCTTATTTGATTAGTGATCTGGAAATGGGTTTCTTTGTTTTAAATATTCCAAGATCCTAAACCTTTCTTTATTTGCAGGTTTAATTTTTTTAATTAAATTTCGAAGGTTTTCAAAGTGCTCAGGTTTTTGGTACCCACGGTATTTTGTGAGGGCAATATGTCAACGTTACAATTTCACCCTTAAAGTACCCTTAACTTTATAATTGACAGTCCATCCTCATATTTATTATAACAGTGTTCATTTAGTTATTCATCTAATATTAATTAAAACTGCTGTAATTAAATGTATTTTTTCTCAGAAAACTAGTCAATATCCATTCCAGAGGTGATGAATTAAGTTGAGCCGTAGCGCCCTCTACAGTACGGTGGTTGGGTGTGTTGCCACTTGCTGGAGATAAAAATCAAACATGCCTCAGTAATTCTAAATAGTATGCATATGCATATCGAATATTATGTAGTAATTTCATGTATTTTATGTACTGTATGTGCTATTAGTACAGTTGCTTAATCGGGTTATAAATCTTGCTGTAATCACACAAACAAAAAGTATAAATAAATAGGCTATGCATGCATGTATACAGGAGTATAAAAGTCTGAGGCTACACTGAAAACCGAGCATCTCTGTAGAATTAAACAGAAAATGTTAGGATTTCAAACAAAGAAAAGATTAAAAAAAGACACACACACACACATATTCAATCCAATCTAAATTTGTGATATTGACCATGTTAAATTTAAACAATTTAATTAAATATTGAATTATTCGCTTTTTTGTTTTTTTGTTCAATAAATTTATCATATCAAAATGCATTACTGTTTCCCCGCTTAAGAGGGCTGAGGGAGGACGGAGGAGCTGAACACGCAGCGCCGGATGAAGCTCTATGAAGACTCTAAGCGGGTACAAGAATCAAGGGTGTTTGTATGTGGGTTGCTAGGTTAATCAGGAGATTGTAGATAGAGTGTCAATGGTCCATTTGAGATATAGGTGGCGGTAATGCACTTATAAGTCTGCGATCCGCCGTAAAGCAACAACAAGAAGAAGAAGCATTACTGTTTTGACGTTGTATGTTGTTTCTGACTTCCTGTCTCAGTATGCTACGACACACGTAATCGGTTTGCGGCAGTGGCTGAAGAGCTGTGGAAAGGAAGTGAACGATTTCTTTATTAGTGAATTGTGTTTGCTTGTTGAGTTGTTTCTCCATGAGTTTAAACTCTTCATAACCAGATATTACACAGCGTTTTAACGAGGCAGCCCTGGGCTCATTTCCCACAGAAAAACTCCGGAGTAGCGGCATTTTCTGACTGCGAGTAGCGGTAACCGGGTTCGAGCAACCCCGAGCACAATGCTGCTCACAGTGTTTTGTGCACCGAGAGACCGCTCGGAAACCACTTTCGCCTTGGAAGTGTCCCCGGAGCTTGAACTCAGGGATTTTGTGGCTCTTTGCGAACTAGAATCAGGAATACCAGCCAGGGAAATTCAGGTAAATATCTTTCAAAAGTGTTGCAACAGTTATTTAGCCTCTATGCTAAGCGACCTGACTAAACAAATTGGTGCCAAACAAGCCAGCAGGTCCATTCTATTAATAGCATACTGAGGCTATGTCAACACTTCTGGAAAACCCCAGATCTGGAAAGATTAACAGGCCATAGCTGCGTTTGCCACGCTAATTTCAATTAAACGTAGTTTGTTTGCTAAATATGAATCATGTCAGGAAACTGTAATACACGGAATTGTGCCCTGTAAAACATGGAAGCCCATTTCCACCACATAACAAAAATAAAAATCATGCTTTGGTAAATCATAATCATGGCAAATATTGTCGTAATTATGAGATAATTACGTCAAAATGGTTATACTAAGCCGAAATATGAGACAACATTTCATTATGACCTGAAAAGTCGAATTGTTATGCCATAATTGGGGTTTTCTGTCATAATTATTACTTTTTATGTCAAGATTTCGTCTTTATATGTAGTAATTATGATTTTTTTTTTGTAATATTATAATTATGATTTACTAAAGCATGTTTTTTTCTAATGTGGCGGAAATGGGCTTCCGTAGTTAAAACGCATATGACTGATTCTTTATTTGATATGGGTGTATAGAGGTTGTTGAAAACCGAAAGAGAAACTTTGTCTGTATGTACGCCCATTTAATGGTGCATGAATTGAAACTGTAACCTGTAATTTATTAACAGAAAAGCTTTCAAAACTAAGCATTTGTTGTATATTTTAGACCTAAACCGCTTAATTTCATAGGTGTTTTGAGAAAAAGATATACTGTATTTTCACATATTGAACAAAATAATGCAATCTTTGCTGTACAGATCTCATATGCAGAGCAGCCTTTACAAGATCCCACCCGAGCCCTGGGGAACTATGGGCTGAAGGATGGAGATGTGGTAGTGTTACGACAAGCAGAGAGGTTACTAGGGCCACAACCCACAGTTCCTGGTAAACCAGCATAACTTGATCTATTTTAAAATGGACTAACATGAGCTTATCATGTCCTTAATCATAACAAATCTTAATGTCATAGGTCTGCCTCGCATCGATTTCAGTTCCATTGCGGTTCCTGGGACCTCCTCAGGCCAAAACAGACAGCACCAAGCCCAGCGTCCCAGTGCCACCCAGTCACGGCCGCCCCCTGCCACCACCACACCAGGCTCAGCCCTTTCTCCTCAGGGATTGGACAACCCCGCCTTGCTACGTGACATGTTGCTGGCAAATCCACATGAGCTGTCATTGCTTAAGGAGCGAAACCCTCCCCTTGCTGAGGCTCTACTGAGTGGAGACCTTGGTAAATGAAGATGATGGTGCTTAAATGCATCTATATGGAAGATTGAATGTTTTGTGACAGAATCATTTTGATTCCTTTTTCAGAGCGCTTCACCAAGGTGCTATTGGAGCAGCAGCAGGACCGAGCCCGAAGAGAGCAGGAGAGAATCAAACTGCTGACTGCAGATCCTTTTGACTTGGAAGCTCAGGCCAAAATTGAGGAAGAAATCAGGTAACAAATAAGGGGTGAGATTATATGCACAGCAAAAACATTGTCTGTGGCACAGGGATCGTAAAAACAAAAGAAAAGCACTGAATCCGTGACATTTTTTATTTTAAATTTCCAGACAACACAACATTGAGGAGAATATGACCATTGCTATGGAAGAAGCACCTGAGAGTTTTGGCCAGGTGGTCATGCTCTACATCAACTGCAATGTCAATGGACACCCAGTAAAGGCCTTTGTTGACTCAGGTAGTAAATCAGGTTTTTTAAGATTTTATTTTATTTATTTATTTTTTTTAAGTCTGCTGGAAATTATGTTGTTGAGTGCTTTGTTATATATTGCTCATAGTAATGTTACGTTGAACATTATGCCTTAATAACCAAGTGATAAATATTTTGGATTAATATACAGCATCCAGGTGAGTTATTTTCAGTCATACGCTATTTTTGTATGCTACTTCGACACTCCTTTTAATACTTTTTTTCCATATTATGTACTAATTTTTTTTATTCTTCTTCTGGTTATCCTTCTTTAGGAGCTCAGATGACAATTATGAGCCAAGCATGTGCTGAGCGATGTAATATCATGCGTCTAGTGGACAGACGCTGGGCAGGCATTGCCAAAGGTGTTGGCACCCAGAAAATTATAGGCCGAGTCCATTTGGGTATGGCATTTATTGAGACCTGCTCCTTTAATATTCAGTATCCATTTCATCCATCCATTATACTAAATATATATCTTACATCCAGCCCAGGTACAGATAGAAGGAGATTTCCTGCCTTGCTCTTTCTCCATTTTGGAAGATCAGCCCATGGATATGCTGCTTGGCCTTGACATGCTGAAGAGACACCAGGTCTGCTTGGAAACTTTGGTTCATAGCAAATCAAATAATCTATTTCCTGTAATGGAATCTGTTTGCCTGGCCATTAATGTTGCTTTAATGGAATAAAACAAAGTTGAGGATGCAGACTTTTTCCATATTCCCTAGACACACAGACTTTAACAAGTGAGATTACGGTACTTTGTCTGCATGTTATTGTCAGTGTGAAAATATTTTATATCTCCTTAATCTTACAAATGTCACCCAAATAGTTTATTAGCTTAATGTAATATTATGTAAATGTATATTTAATTTTATTAAACAAACGTTTTAGAGAAGATTACTAGTAGAAGTTTTCATTTTTTTCATTCATTACTTGAAATCTGAGCATGCAAGGTCTGCTCTCTTCTACTGACTGTTGTTCACAACTTTACTTGCTTTCATTCAGTGCTCCATAGACCTAAAGAAAAATGTCCTCCTCATTGGGACAACGGGTACAGAGACACGTTTTCTACCTGAGGCAGAGCTGCCTGAGTGTGCCCGGCTGGCATATGGGCCAGAGGGACGAGAGGATACCCGGCCTGAGGAGATTGCAGATCGAGAACTGGCAGAGGCAATACAAAGATCTGTGCAGGACAGCGGTGAGATGCATGATATGTAGGCCAAGAGATGGCATGGCTAATAGGGTTGGAATATAGGCTAGAGTTCAAATTTAACACAAGTAATGAATACTCATTAGTGGTTTGTTGTAGAATTATGAGGCTTTCATTATTTAGGAATCAGAAGAATATAACATTTTTAACAGGTTTTGTAGTCTGTTTATCCTGGTTGCAGTGCAGAACCACTCATCTAGTTCACAAGGTGGCGTACAATGTATGAATGAAAAACACTTCCATTAAAAAGTTTGGGGCCAGTAAGATTTTTTTGAAAGAAATTAATAGTTTTATTCAGCAAGGTTGCATTAATCAAAAGTTAGAGTAAAGACATTTGTGATACTTTTTTTTTAACTGTATTTATGATTAAATAAATGCAGCCTTAATGAGACTGCTTTAAAACACATTTAAAACATCTTACTGACTCCAATCTTTTGAACAGTAGTGTATGCTTGTACATGCCTGTCAAAACAACACTAATGAAACTATCTGAGGAAACATGGGTTAAAACATTAGTAGGACATTGGCTTTTCAGAATATATTCTTCAGTTTTAACATGGTCACCAAAAACTTATGTGGGTTGAACACCACCTTGTGTATCTAATGTGATTTTTAGGTGCATGCCTCTTTTTCTCTCTCTTTCTGGATGTGTTTTTGCTAATTTTTTGCCTCTTATTGCATGAAATGTGTGGCGTTTGTGTCCTAACTATGAGCAGGACAAAACTGATGTCATATGGACAGACACAGGAGAGGGCTCTACCTACCAGGTATTACGTTGACCGTGGGTATATCTCATTAGCCTAATAAAGTATTTTACCCAGTAAATATTGGACATATAATATACAGTACATTGGTATGCACAGGAATGGCTTCCATTTTGTGAGTAATATCTTGCATATCTTGAATCAAGTTAGTCTTTGCCTGTCTATGATGTTAACTATTTTGCATGGTTTGCAGTGTTTGCTGAATTTGCATGGTTTAACTTATTTCAATGTAGACTTTCAACTTCATCAGTTATTGTTTCTCTTATTAGATATTGAAGATGGAAAAACTACCTCACCACAATCCCTGCCATTTAAACCCCTCGAACAAACCACAACAACTTCAGCCTCAAGTCAACCCCACAGTCTCACCCTAGACCGTTCTAAGTCTGCCCCAGCCTCAATAAACCAAGGAGTGTCCCCAATTGAAATTCCCGCATCGATTGAATCCTCTCTACTTCAACCCTTGAAAGTGGGTGAACCCTCTCCAGATCCATCTGATGACACCTTTAGATCTCAGTCCCAAGGACTGGCAGATCCGACACCGGCTTGCTTGCAAACAGATGCAGATGCTCCTATCCCAAGCGCTCTTCCCTCTCAGGAACCATTCTCTAGTGCTGTGCCCGAGGACCATGAAGTGACAGGCAACATTGTTTCAGGAGATTCCGGCAGTCCGATAGATGTGGATTTGGGGAAGAATATCACTTCCTCTGGGACTGTAGCAGCAGAATCTCCCTCTATTCTTTTTAACCCAAGGTCTCAGACTCAAACGCTGGATCAGGAAGTGGACATGGACGTTTCTTCCAATGCAAAACCAGAAGCTGGCCATGACTTTTCTGATCAGTCCCAGAGAGACCAAGGTAGTATGATGGAGGATGTTTCAGGGGCTCAGCCACAACTCATGCCTGTTCCAGAATTTAACCTTGAACCCTGTCATGCTGAGCCAGCCTTTTCTTCTGTCCATTCAGACTCTGTGAGTGTAATACCCTGTGAAACAGAACAGCCAGAGACGGAGAACATCCCTTCCTTGGCTCAAGCCCTTAAGGAGCTCCATAAACTTCTGATGTCCAACACTTGTCCAACAGTTTCTGGAAGGATTCCTCTATCTGATGCTAATGATACTACACCAACACAAGATGTTGTTGAGGTGGACCAGGATCCTGCTGCAACAAACCATGTCACTCTGAACCCAACTATTGACTCATCCTCTAATACTGCCACAGCTAATGACATGGAAGAAAGTGTTGCCAAAGCTGACTTTACTTCTCAATCAGTGGGGTTTTTTCCAGATGTACCAACACCAAGCAATCCAGGGCACACAGAGAACCAACCTTCTAGACAGGTAAATCCCATAGTGAAACAAACGAATGAGTGCCCTTATGCGGCTGAAGAAAATCGGGCCATTGTTATTGAAGAAGGTTCTGGGCCGGTGACTTCTTCCCAAGGAGATCTTGAGTTCCCTGAGGGTCAGCAAGGGCAGGACATTGTGGACAAAAACACCTCAGGCATTGACATCTCTGCTGACCTGTTTCAGCAGCGCCCGCTTTCTGTAGCAGCTGGTTCATCAACCAATTCCAGCCTAGGGCCTGTTGCATCTCCTCAAACTGAAACCACTGAGACGGATCCTTTTTCCCTTGGAGACTCCATTCAACCTGCACCACAGCCCTCGATGGGACAGTTTCCACTAGAGCACATTCAGAGGATCCAGGCATCAGGGTTTTCAGCCCTTGAGGCTGCTGAGGCACTGGAACAGGCTCAAGGCAGCGTGGAGCTTGCCTTATTGGTGCTGCTTGCAAGAAAGATCACTGTGCCCTCATAGACTCAGAATCTACTCTTATTGGTGGCATCAGTTAACATATGAGCCTTTTTTTTCATCCTGTGGTTTTACTTTAGCAGTCCTTGTGGTTTTGTACTGTGGTTGTGTCTTCTTCTGGCTCTTCTACTTTGCCAACATACATAATATTTAAAAAATAGATTTTTGAGAAGCTGGCCAGATTTCCCTTTCAACAGAACGATGATGTCTGTGCAGTCTTTTTTTTTTTTTAAGTTTTGCATGTTGCCTCAATAGTTCATAATGGATTGTTGATTTTATTGGTTTGGTTTGAATAAATTTGATAAACTGTCAGACATTTTACAGGATTATAAATAATTACAGGTGGTGGGGCTCAGTAATAAAATTCTTCTTGTGGCAGAAATAGACCTGTTTCCAAACTTCCAACAACTGCATGATTTTACATCTCAAAATTTATTTAAATGCCTGATGTTTACGTATCTTAAACCGAAACTTCTGAAGCATCTTACTAAATTTATTTTGTATAAATGTGGTAATAGGAGCAGATAGTAAACTGGTAAAGCACCCATTTCAGAGTACTTTTTCCTATTTGAATTGGCAATAATGTTCAAGCTGAGGTCATTTTCTCTTTAATTATTATTTTATTTGATAGTTGCCAATCCTGTATAACTTGACATGTTTTCAATAGGTTGCCTTTGGAAATTATTAAAGAATAGACTTACCATTACCTTTATGTGTTCATAGTCCATCCTTGAACAATATTGTCAGTCTTTTTGGTAATGATATAAAACAAATCTAAAGGGGAAGTTATAACATTTATTATCAGTACAGTAGTATCTTTTTAATAGATTCATGATGTTGTGGCTGTGAATGTAGTGTTTTACATTGTTTTTGATTTAAATTAAAACGGACAGGAAAAAGCTGGTGCTGACAAAGTAATCTACAGGAAGGTTTTGTTTTTTTGTTTTTGCCCGTCTACCACTACGTTGTTTTGGGAAGTCTGTTTTATTCTCTTATTTGTTGTCCCTTGTCTAAACGCTTGATTTTGGTGTAAAGCCCTGATGTTCCCTTTCCAGCTGTCTGTGATTTTTGTCATGTCTACATTCTTGTTATTTTGTAATCTCTGGGTCATATATCAGTTCAATCTATTTGAGAAACTCAGTTTCATCTTGTATACAGTTTAAAACCAAATAAAAGGAAAAAAAGTGATTCTTATATTTCAAATGTGCAGCTGTTTTTTTTTTTTTTAGTTTTAATTGTAAATAGTTGACTGCAATAATGTGACAAGCATAAGTGCATAAGCATAATGCTTTATATGTTTTAATGTTTATTAGATAAATTGGACAGATTTGTCAGTTGTGGACAATCTTATAATGCTAAAATGCCTATTAAGTCTACTTAAATTACTTCCAATTAACACAGTGCCATTCATCTTTCATAATAATAGGGTGTATCTCACACTGAAGTGTTAAATGTTACCCTAAAAGCAAATATATATATTAAGAAATATTTTAATTATGTATTAAGAAAATGAAACATAAGTTTTATTTGTTTTTACATCTTATATGCAGATTCTTCGTTCGTTTGTTCTTATTAATACATAGAGACCGCAAGTAACGTATTGAATTAAAAGTGAAATTTCGAAGTAGAAAGACTGAAATTGTATTTTCTCAAACGTATTTAAATAAACTTTGTTTAATTTACATATTACAAAAAAAAGTTATACAGTGGGTAATGTGATGACAATGATTTTGTTATCTGTAAACATTTTTTAAAGGGGTCATATGATGCAATTTCAATTTTTCCTTTCTCTTTGAAGTGTTACAAGCTCTTGGTGCATAGAAGTTTTTATGTGATACAGATTAAAGTGGCTTCATAAAGTACTTTTTAAAAATATTAAAAACGCAAAACACACCTGATGCAAATTCTTTGCTCTTCATAAAAAATGTGACGTGTAAGACACAGACATTAGGTTCAGCCAATAACAAAGTAATCTTCGTCAAAGCAACGCCCAATCAAATGCATTAAAATTGGTTGGGCGTAATTGGACAGGTGAGGACGCACTTCCGAATCAGTTAGACTGGTGACTTGCTGTGTAAAAGCAGTATATTGACTGCTTTTACAAATTCAAGTTCAATATTGAGCATTAAATCTCTTAAATGTTAATAAGCCGCGAGAATGTTTACCGCGTTCGTTTGGCTCATGTCATGGAGGATGAGAGAATCTGGGCCGACAGAGACACTGATCGCCCCGGGCTGGATGAACACCGCCTTAAAACAAATATAGAGGACTGTGAAGCGTTTGGTGGACTTTACTGGTATGTAATAAAACAAAATGAATAATAAATGTAAAATTTGTTCGTTATTCCTATGTTCTAACGTGGCGTGGTATCATAAATATTCCTATCCTGTTGTTTTACTTCCTTTTAACCGCCTATCTCACAGTAAGGTTCAAGACTTGTAATGCATCTTTTTAAAAAGGTTTTAGATGGTGTGTTGAATTTCATTTTGATCTCTCTTTTTCTTAGCACATCTGAAGGGTTGGCTGAAGCTCTTAGATCTGTTGCAAGCTTACAGTTATGGAACTTTATGGGGTTTTCTCTGCCTGTGTCCTCCCTCTTCTCTCTGGAGAGCTCCAGTCTGAAATCTTCTGACATGCACTGTGAGGTGTGAGGTGAAAAGGTAATGTTTATACGTCACAAAAACACATTTCAGGCACCCAGTGTTAACTAATCATTAATTTATGTTCATCAGCCTTTGCACAGAAACGAAGCTGTCTCTTTTCAACCATTTTCCTTGTTTCAGGGCAGATGCTACCAATGTCAGTTCTCCACAAGAGGAAACGTACGTTGCCCCGTTTGAATCGGAGTACATCAACAGTTGTAAGTTTACAGATGAATCTCACCAAATGGTCAACCAGATACTCTAGCCTGGTCACATTTCATCCATCGAAGACTGAAAAGAAAAGGATAATTTGCTTAACCTTATAAGGCCTACTGTATTATATTTGATACACAAATTTCTAAAGCCTCTAAATGATCATAATCCAAACTTTGATAAAAAAAAACCTGATGAACACAATCCACTACATGCCTTGTGTTGTCTGGTTGACAGTTTATGCTTTTTTTTTTTTTTAGCAAGTACAATGTCTTTTAGTATAATTACAAAAACGCACCCCTTCAGGTCTTGGAACACATGTCTTTTTGCTGTGAAAGCTTTAAAGATTTTTTATAAAGTAAACATAAGAATAATTTTTTTATTTTTTGTAATATTTTAAGATTAAGACTTACTGGACTGAAGCAGCTTAGGTTTATTTGGTTTATCCATAATTCTTTTTATAGAAAAATAATGTTAAAATGTATGACATGATATATCAGGCTTTTAAGGAACGTTTAAATTATCATTGTATTGCATTGGATTATATGTTTTGCCCCCTACAATTAAAACTATAGTACTTTAATAATAAAACTAAGCATTAAAATATCATCTTACTAAGACATATTATTGGGAGATATATGAAGGTAGTCTACTATACTGTTATAAAGATCTCATTTATTTACATTATCAGTTTCATCTTCCATCAGCCATAAAAGCCTGATATATCTCATATGATGTTCAAAAAAAAAAAAAAAACATGCATGTTTTTCTTATACATGTGCTATTCCTTTTGTCTGCTCAATTTTGTTTTCATAGCGGTCTCTTTATATCAGGAGTTTTGGATGAATTCTATGAAGAAGGATTTACACAGAGCACAACACACTGGTGTAGCGTCTGGACCAATCAGACACACCATTTTTCATTAGATTTAACAAATCAGTTATTCATTAGATTAACAAATAGTCACAGACCCCTCACCCAATAAACATACTGGGTGCCAGGATGTCTGCGAACGACAAAAGGCCTCTGATTCCATGGCAACCAATGCTGATATCACTGGTTTTATTGCCCAAAGGAATGTGGGTAGAGAAACTCACTACATTTTCCATAGGAAAGACACATAATGCACAGTAAAAATGGACTCTTCTCTAATTAATTCATAGGAAAACCTTTCTTTGAATGAACACACATATCCTTCAGGTCATTGTGTATGTTGTTACTGTCCTTGTATATTGTCTTTTATATTGTATACTGTTTTATGCAGGCTTATGATGAAACCACTCATTCCTGTCATCTTACCTATATGTAATCCTACCATGTTAAGTATCTATGAATTCGCCTTCTGATGATCTAAACGAGAGTGTATATTATATGTTGGTACATAAGCAAACGTTCTTAGAATTGACAGACAGTTGACCCTGAGAGGTCAAGTAAATACTTACAGCGGATCTAAATATTTATAATTAATTATAACTAGTTATGATTAATTATTCCTATTTCCCCTTTGAGCTGATTCGCTACACTGGACTTTCAGAATTGGTGACATCTATGCGTCTTCCTGGTCTGAAAACTCCCCCTGCTTTAAGCCCGTCCTCTGTGTTGAGCCCACCAGGACTACAGGCTAAGCCATACGCTCTATGGCAGAAGCTACCGCAAGTAAAGAGTCTGCTGAACTCCCTCAGTGTGCATGAGATCCAGCTTCAGGAGTTGTGTATTGCAGAACACCAACAAGTCTTGCATGAAAAATGTGACCTTGGTCTGATGCCTACTGTTATGCCACAATACTTATCCCTGTTTTTTGTGCTTTTGGTCAAGGCCATGTTTGAACTGATTGTGTCAGAGGCCTCGTATCAGAAGAGTCTGATAGTAGCACTGAATGTGTTTCAGTGCTCAGCTGAACTTCGACAGATTCTCTCCCGTGTGCAGCAGCATGTTCTGTTCACCAACCTAAAGGATGTCTGCAGAGTCAGTGAATGGTAAGGATAGATACTTGAATATACTGGTCTGCAGAGTCAGTGAACGGTAAGGATAGATACTTGAATATACTATTATTAATTTATAGATATAATTTAAATAATATAAAATATTAATTTATAGAGTTATATACATAAACTACCATTCACAAGTTTAGTTAAGTTTATTCAGCAAGGATGTATTAAACTGATAAATTGATAGTGACAGTATAGACCAGGGCTGTCCAAACTTGGTCCTGGAGGGCCGGTGTCCTGCAGAGTTTAGGTCCAACTTGCCTCAACACACCTGCTACAAAGTTTCTAGTACCCCTATAAGAGCTTGATTAGCTGGTTCAGGTGTGTTTAATTGGGGTTGGAGCTAAACTCTGCAGGACACCGGCCCTCCAGGACCGAGTTTGGGCACCCCTGGTATAGACATTTATAACGTTACCAAAAATTTCTATTTCAAATAAATGTTGTAAGTTTTAAACTTTCTATTAATCAAAGAAGCCTGAAAAAACATGTATCATGGTTTTCACAAAATTATTAACATTGATAATAGTAAATGTTTCTTGAACACCAAATCATCATTTTAGAACGAGACACTGAAAACTGAAATAACAGCTGCTGAATATTTAGCTTTGTCAACACTAGAATAAATTACATTTTAAATGTATAAAAGCATTTAAATGGGAATCAGTTATTTAAAATGATAATATTTCAAAATATTACTGTTTTAACTAATGTTTTTACTAATGCAGTCTTGAGGACTATATATAATTATTTTATTTTGGTTAATTCAGATTTCTGCAGGACAATGGAGTCCCATCTTGGGCAGTATGTGGTAATGTCACAGGTTGGTGATATTGTTTTGAATCACCAGCAAGGTTTCCAAAAAGTCTACGTGCCATATATCACCAACATGATGTACGAGGCTCTCATTGCTCAGCTGCTGTTTGTTCCGTTTTCATGTATCATCCATATTGAACATATACATTTAATTTAATGGCATGCTAGCATTCTGATTACGATCTTACACTTTTAATTTTTTAAATATTGTTTCAATATTAATATGTATATTAAATAAAGGGCTGTACGCAACCGTTTCAACGTGAGCTTTATTTCAACAAAACACAATGAATGTACAGAAAGAAATTTACATTTGAAACCATCCAGTTGCTGGGATTCATTCCCTTCAGAGTTGAATGGGCTTGGTCAAGACCATCGTAGAAAATGTCTCTGTTCTTCCATGTCACCTATGATGAAAAGACAAAATAAAGAAGTATCAGATCTGTTTTAGATGGTTAGGGGTGAACAATGCTTTCAAGATTTGTCATTTCACCTGTTAAAGTCCTTTTTTGTTGATCGGGAACTACGCGACTGGCTGAGGAGACATCAAGTCAAAGTCTGAAAGGTTTCTTGCCACCCAAACACCCGCTGCAAATAAACCCAGGTTCACAAGGAGATTCCTATAACAATAAAACAAAGGAGATGGTCACATGGTGGCAAATATTTAAAACTATACATCTGAACGTCATTTCGAGTATATGAGTTGCACGCAAAGGTACAGTTCGTGTCGTTTAAAACGGTAACAAACCTTCTAAAATCATTTCTGTCCGCCGCGAAATGGCAAGCAGAGCTTATCCATCCCATGATACCAGCCGATCGTCCTTCTGTTTTCTTTCCGCTCATTTTATTTGTAAATATATTAGTATTATTAGCGAGCAAGCCAGAGGCTCTTTGATATTACCTTGAGATTGCTACGGCAAACCACGAGGTTAACAATATCGCGCTACGGATCCTCGACTGGACCAAACCGTATTGAGAGACATGCGGTTTCATTTATCAGGAATCAATTTTGAAACGCCGTACCATTTGGCCCTCCATGGCTTACAGATTTTCAGCACAGTGCAGTTGTGAAACACGCTTAAACATGGCTGCCACCAGATACCGTCGATTTCTAAAGCTGTGCGAGGAATGGCCAAACGACGAATCAAAGAAAGGGCGAGATTTAGGAACATTTTTACGCCAAAGAGTCGCTAGTGCTTTCCGAGAAGGCGAAAATACGCAGGTATTGTAGGGGAATTACTGCACGATTTACCTATGTACGTATGTATGTATGTATGGGGTGCGATTTTCATAAATTTTTATGAAATGTTTTTAATACGACGGAAACTGTATTTAACGTGATCACAGTTTATTAAAAAACATTGTAGGCCAACGATAGGCCTATTAATTGTAATGATTTCATTTCCACGGTTATTCAAACAACGAATAAATTATATAAAGAAAGCGAGCAAAGAACACAACGGAGCTTTTTGAAACTCTGAATCAGTTAAACCATTGCGTCGCAAAATGAATCACTGTTTCGAAGCGCTTCAATCGGATCGCGTATCACGAATCATTTGATTCAGATCGGGACTTCAAAGCGTGTATCGCGAATCATTTGATTCAGATCGGGACTTCAAAGCGTGTATCGCGAATCTTTAGGTTTATCTAGGAGGTTTATCTAGCTTATGCTAGCTTGATGTTTTCGTAAATAAATAGATATTGTTCATTCTAACACTGCTTGTTAACTACTCTTTTACATTATGAATGTGAATTCTATGCTTAATCAATATATGTATATATAACAGATTGGTGTTTTTGTTTGCCCTTTTGCAGCTTCAAATGGAGGACACATTCAGATCGGGACTTCAAAGCGTGTATCGCGAATCATTTGATTCAGATCGGGACTTCAGAGCGGATTCGCGGGATGTTTTTATCCCCACCGACCGGGGATAAAAGTAATTCAGCAGAGGCAGGGATGCATAGACCAGAGAGGGGAGAGGCGATTTGATTATTGTCATAGCACCTTTCGTCACATTTATGTTTTTAATAAAATATTTCATTTTGTTGGTTTAATTAGCCCAAGCCTCTAAACGTGACGGCATCGTAATGCTTGTGTTTGTTTGTTTTCAGTTTCCGAGGGCAAAAGATACAAGTTTTACAGGTGTAACGGTGGAAGAGTGCAGAATACTACTGGCAACAGGTGAGGATTTCTTAAGCTCAGCTGTCTGAAATTTTCCATTTAACTACATTAATGGGTTGGTAATTCTTATGCTCACCGATGCTGCATTTTTTGTAAAAACAGTAATATTGTGATTATTAATATTACAATTTAAAATAACTGTTTTCTAATTTATTATTATGAGGCAAAGCTAAATTTTCAGCAGCCATTACTCCAGTCTTGAGTTTCATTTCATCACATGAAATTGTTCTAAATATGCTCGAGTAACATTTCTTCTTATCAAAACAGTTTGTGGAAACAGTGATAGAAATGTTTTTTCAGGATTCTTTGATTAATAGAAAGCAAAAAGAAACATAATTTTTACTTTTTCTCATTTCTTTGTTTTGCAGGAAACATGCAGCACACAGATGAGGAGAAAAAGGGATTGTGGAAGACACTAATGGAGCGCTTCTCCTCCAAACCTGAAGATGGAACTCCTGAAAAAGCTGAAAAATAATCATCATATTGCACTGATCTTATTTATTCCCCTTTGCTCTTTTTCAAATAAAAGGATTAAGGTGTGTATGTAAATCTTCACTTCTAACAGCTGTAGCTCTCTTCATGTTGATCATGTCGAACAGAGACTTCCAAGAAGTAAAACTGATTGTTTTATTTCAGGGTGTCTGCGGGGTCTTAAAAAGTATTAAAAGTTGATAAATCAATTTAGAGAAAATTATGGCCCTTAATAAGTATTAAAAAGTCTTAAATGCCATTTTCCAAGGTATTAAATTTTGAATCATCTTTTCATTATGTATATTTGTCTGAATAGTGGGGTTCTGTGTAGTTTATTTATGGAATCCCGCAAGATTTGACGTCATCTGTTACGGCGCTCACTGACTGACTGCGCTGCTGCGTGATAGCGCGGGGCTTGTTGATCCCGCTCTCGCTGAATTTCTGACCATTACCATCCGCTCCTGCGATTTTTGTGTGCGCTCCCGTAAACATTCTAATATTGCATATTATTTTCGCGCATCAGGGCACCGCTATCAATATGTGGGGTATTTAAATCCCCTTTGAATGAGCGCTCGCAGTCGCAGTTCACTTTCGATTTCGCGATTGCGCGCGCACTGTGTAAAGGGAGCACATCTAACGATAAAAGATATTTGTCAGTGAGCTCGGGATCTGTTGAAGAGCAAATCCTCCAACATCTTGTCAGTTATCTCTCCTTACTTTTGGCCCGTGATTAGTCAAATCTGACTTCTGCAGCTTGTGTTGGATGCAGGGTTGTTGTTGTTTTGTTCCACGAAATTGGGCTGCTTTTAAACTGTTGCCATGGGTTGATTTTCCCCAGTGGGTTAAAGGTTTAAAATATTGCATGAATTACATTTGGTTGAAATGCTTGTACTAAAACATTTTGCATTCTACCTGTAATAAAACTGTGCTAAATGTTTTGGGCCACACTAGTAGGAAGCATTTGAGCTGTGTTTATGATAAATGTGCATAACAGTGACTGTAAAATATGTTTTTTTTTAGGGATGGAAATTAAATTTTTATATTTGGGACATGGTAATTGCGCTACTTTGGGCTGGTTTTTTATTACTGGCATGGGCTTGGGATGCACAATTAAAATGATATAATAGTTGTGATTATTATTTTACCTTCCATGATTGCATTGGTTAGTCACTCAATTAATTCTCTTGTGCTATGTCCCCCCCTATCACAAAGTAAGTCTGTTTAGTTGTGCTATCTTACAATCAAAATATAATAAATGTAGGTTAAAGTGTCACCGATGTAACCGGTTAAAAATTGGACTGGCGATGAGGTCTTAAAATGTATGGAAAGAGTCTTAAAAAAGGTCTTAAAAGGTATTAAATTTAACTCCATGATTCCTGTATATACCCTGTATTTGGAAGACTGTTAAAGTGGGAGAAAAGTGATCAATCTGGAATAATATTCAGTTATAGAATATTACTCTTCAGTTTTATTGCATATTCTTTCTCCTGAATCCATAATGCAAATAAATACTTTTTGTATTTCCCATGTACTGTAACAGTCCCGTATCGGTCTTGTTTTGATTTCACTGGATAAAAGCCATGCTGAATTATGTACTCTTTATGGTTTTTGCTCATATATGTATACTGTTTTTACGCCCTTCATTTTATTAACTTTTTTTTTTCTTTCTAGATGGGTGTGTTTTGAATAATTGGTTATTTCAAAATGGTTATTTAAAAAAAAAGGCTTTCATTGAGGTGTTATACACAGGTGTTTATTCCTAATATATTGATGTGAACATTTTATTGGCTGAATGCATGCACCATATAAGAAAGTTAGTGTGGTGATTAATATTTTTTAAATATGATTTATGATAATTAATGTTTGTGAATTTGTAAAAATTATTTAGGTTTATGATGGAATAACAGCTGAAGTGCAGTTCAGTTATAGAAAGTTGCACAGAAAAGTGAAATAACATAAAGCTGATGCACACTGGGGAATTTTCTGGCAGATATTGATAATATGGTCTGTGCCATGACAACATATGTTCACAGAAGATAGCTAGATGATAAAAACTTTGCCAAACCACCACCCTTGTACAACCACAAAGGTTTATGACGTGTCATGGTGTCATGTTTTAACTAAATTTCCTTCCAAGAAACCAAGAGTCATGAAAACATTTTTATTCATAAAAAATTGGCAAGAACCAAGCAAAACATTTTTCTGTTATCAATCAGAAATATTTTGAGTTTGAAGAGCCTATAAAGTGATCTGTGTAAAATGCTGAACTCAAGTGAATTGATGGAATGAGTTTATATAATTCATGGACGCAATAGAACATTCTCATTTTATTGCCTTTCCTTCTCTTATAATTAAGATACATTGTGAATTTTCTGATATTACTAAATTTTAAGTGAAGATAAAAAATAAACTAAATTCTTCATTATTAAAAGGTAACTTCAAAATGGCCAACAAGTAAAATAAAAAAGCATGATTGCATTTTTGTTCTAGTCAGTGTTAGTTAGAATAGTGTTAATTTTTATTGGCCTCTTTAGTCATCTTTTTTGGGGTCTGGATTGTCCCTCCAAATGCAGTAGTTGAGGCTGGTAGCGAGGCAGAGCCAGGCCAAGTATGGTACCATGAGAAGTGTTGCAGTGCGGCTGATGGGATACCAAGACACCATTGTGGCTGCTACTGTGCCAGTCAGCATCACTATCTCTATCATTGCCTAGATATGAAAGAAGAACAGAACATCACTATAGTTAATCATACAAGACATTATATAAACACTGACTTCCGTTGTATTGACAAAAAAATACAATAGAAGTCAATGGGAACCATTTGTTTACTAACATTTTTCAAAATACCTTCTTTTGTGTTCAGCAGAAGAAAGAAATGCATATAGGCTTGGAATGACATTAGAGTGAATAAATGAGTTTTTAAGTCTTCACAAAAATCTCTGATACTATCTCACAACGACTATGTGCAGAAAAACTGGTTCCTGGTTTACCTTTTAAGCAGTTTCTCTGTATTTTAACTGAAATAACAGTAGGATTTTTGAAACTCAGAATAATATCTAACCAGTTTAATGTTGTGAGTGCCAAAGAAGATGGGGGTCCAGGCCCAATTAAGCGCTAACTGCATCCCATAGAGCCCCAGTGGTACCAATGCATCCTGGGTGAAGCCTCCAAGCTCTTTCCACACAAGGTATGAACCGTAGCTTTAAAAAAAAGAGAAAATCATTTACACCATCCGGAATTACCTTTAGTTACTCATTAACTTTTAACTACAACTTCCTTCAAAGTTACTAAATGCATAACTGCCAGATATAATAAGTGGCCAATGTTTGAACAAACCCCATGCCAGTGTAGAGAGTGGTCCACGCCACTGGAAAGGCAGCATTAGGTGGCCTCCATGAGGGTTTATTGAGCGTGGTGTACCAGGTCTTCACCTCCTTCCGTGTAATTAAACCTCCAAATATTCCACCAACGTGTGGCAGAGCAGTCAAACTCAGCATAGGAATCCACATCCTTTCAATGCAAACTGGCAAAATAAGGTTTCTTAGCATTTGACTGTGTACATTATGTAACACATTTGTTTTTGTGTAATTGCTCTGCACCCTCCTTGTCTGTATAACTTATTCCAAGTCTGAAAGTTTATCTCCACAGAATGTGAGACCTTTAGGGCTCAATTGCAGTAAAATAATTAGGACAACATAATTAGGCCTTCTCTCGCAATTAATGCATTTGTACAAAAAGCTCACATATGAATATAAAAATATCAGCACAAAAACAAGTAAATAAGTAAAACATGCAAATATGACAATATTATGCTATAGCTGTTGGGTAAACTACTGAACAGAACAAAACTAACATACTAAAAAATAAACTGTTTTCTAAATAGTTTTGGTTCATTGCCAGTTCAGTTTTCCTACTCTATCTGGGATCTTCTTCACGCACGTACTGTACGACTCGTAAAATTGTTTTTAAAGACGAAGATGACGATGTGAAGAACGTCTTATAGAACCTATATAGACTTTTTTTCGTGCAAAGAATGTTAAACAGCATGACGGGTTTGCATAATCTTATTCACGCGATCAGCAGAACATTATTTAACGCGCGCTACTTATTGTGGAACTTAGTTCACAAATTCATACGACGGACTAATAAGAGACATAGCCAAGCAAATTGCCTGTTGTAGGCTACTAAATAACAACGCTGCTGACTTTACCTGAATTGACAGGTCGAAGCGCTGTTCGATGCTATTTGAAGAAGAGAGACGTCTCGATGGCCTTCTATGACCGGAGTGATCTTGAAATCATGATACAAGTTTGTGTAACAGACAGTGGGCGTGCAAGAAGGATAGGCTGCTCTCGCGTACAATACTACTGAAACGCTGGCCACTAGAGAGAGGCATGTAAACATCTGCCGCTTCCTCGTGTTGTGAAACGATCACTTAGCATAGTAATGCGCTTGAATGGTCCGTTCAAGCAGATCAGCGCGGCGCTGCGCTGGGCTGGAACAGATGCCAGTTTTGAAAATTAGCTGTGACAAATGTGTCAAATATCAATAGGGCAAAAAGTGCTGGTATAATCGAACCGTTTACTGCCTCAAAAACGACAACAAAACCCCGTCACTGACAATAAATATATAAATATATGTTGTAATGTGTGCGTGTATATGTATAGATTTAATAAATAATGTGCGGGCTTGAATATTATATGCAAATGAACACAAAGATCTCATGGAAATTGTATTCCCTTGTTCTGGCTGGGTAAGAGCACCAAGGAAACGTGCAAACATGCAGAATGTAGCCTACAGACCATGAACATGACTCCCTCTGTAGGCTATTTTCATGTGTTTGATAGACTGTTTCTATGAGAGATGCAGTATATTTTTAAAATCTTCCATAGCCATTTTTTTTACTTGTAGACATGTGATGTACATGTGCACACTAGCTATTAGAAATGTGCAGTGCCTTATTGTAATTAATTCAAAACACTATTTTACGAAGATATGCACAATAAGCTACTGTGTCTCATAATTCTGTGGTAAATCAAAATTGACATTTCCTTAGTTCATTATTTAAGTGTGGTTATGTGAACTCCTCTGTCGGAGAAACTGGTTTATTAATCTAATTTTTACTCTTAAAATGGAATTGCAGTACAGTGTTATATAAAAGTAAGAAATAAATTAAATGTAAATTTTTTCAACTGAATTTTTATTGTGAATTAATTTATTATGAATTTTGGATGTGGTCAAATATAAAAAATAAATAAAAGAAAGAAAAGCTAAATAAATAAAAAACAAATGGCTTTATAATTCATGTTATGATTGATTATGTTTGATTAATGATTATTTTGTGAAAGCAATTTCAATTTCAGTTAATTAAAATTCAATTAGATTAATGTTTGCAATCAACCAATCTCAGAAAACACAAGATTGTGCCTTGGTTTAACCTCATGATTGATGATGAAATTTTATATTTCATTTTTAAAAATGAAATGAAACTGTGTATGTTATGTGCATGCATTATCCTACTACTGACATAAAGATGTTTTTAGCACAATTATTATTTATTATTCTACCTCCTCAAAATGGTTTATGCAAAACATTAAAAATAAAAATATTTAAGAATGTTAAAATAAATGCTGAACATGCTGTAATTAAAAAGCTTTTAGCAATGGTAGTAAAAATGTATTCTGTATATTGTCTATATATCTGCATTTAATACTTTTGTATTTTTCTGTATTTTTGTTTGTATTTGAACTTATGCAGCCGTTAAACTTGCAACTATGATATCATAAAAGGAATGTTTTAACATAGCAGATGAGAATACTGAGGGCTAATTGGGCTGGTAACTATCTCAATTGAGCATGTGTGTCTTTTCTGATTTGAGAGAGCAAATTTTTTCCACAAACATATACTTTTCAATGAATTCCCGAGACTGGTCCCAGCCCAAGCCAGGGCACGAGCAGCCTTCTTGCTCTCCAGCACCTCAAATATGCCAGAATAATGGTAAGAGAGCATGATTTCCTGCTTGAACTGACTGATTTAAACCAAATTAACCATCAGTAAGTGAACCTTAGTTCATAACTTAGTTACCTAACTGTCTGTATTAGTAAGTTATTAAATAAACAATAAATAATTTAGTAATTATCACTTATTTTTCAATCATTCTTCCAAAATGCTGTGTTACATGTATTTACATTAATAATTTAAATCAGATTTAAAGATTTTTTTGCAAGTTTAAATTAAATGGCATTGTATCATTTTAAAGGACCCACCATGACAGAAAATTACTTCATGCCACCTCCACCTCCACCCTCACAGGATTACAGAGTAAAGGGGCCATCTACCAGCCACAATTTGTCCCTTCCAAGATCTGATGCGATTGAGACCCCATTTGGTGTTATCACACCTGAAAGTAATTTCTCAACATGAATATCACACCAATGTAGTTTATCAGCAGGTGAAAAGATATTGGGATGCTTATTATGTTTTTTATACTTAGATTTGATCTGGGATCCTCCAAATCTACAGGAGCTTAGTCCACTGAAATTATTAGGTGTTTACAACCTTCCACCAGTCTTTTGGCCTGCCAGCTTAAAGGATAAGGTGAAGAATCTTGGCATTAATGTGGATGAGACAAACAGAGCTGATGGCAGCAGCAACATGAAGAATCCATCTTCCTCTGTGCCTCATAATATGCTTGAGGAGCTTCTTGAGAATTTGGATTTCTCAGCACCTTCTCCTCATGCAAATGAGGACATCTTTGAAATACTAGGCCTCTCTGTTGATGCATACAATGAACAGACTGAGACTGATGCTGTCATAGAGCAGGAAGAGGACAAGCACAAGTTCCCGCTCAGTCCTTATGTCATCACTTACCACAACATGGAAGCTGCAGCCTTTGATTGTGAGGAACTTCTGTCTTATGTCACAGGCTCAAGAAAGAGAAAGAGGACTATTTTCTCTGACAACTCCTCTTCTGCTGCTGCTGAAAGTTCTGCCATGGTTGATGATTTTGAGCCTCCACATGCTAAGCCTCAACTGGACTCTAGTGAGTATGATGAAGACATTCTCACTACTCTTTGTACTGCTATCTTCTCTGACGAAAAAAATACTTCTTACGATTAAAGCAATGCTGTTGTCACGATCTCTAGCTGGAGTGCCCGTGAGCTTCGCTAGAGGGCACTCCATCCCAGACTTCTACCACTCCATCAAAGACTTCATTTCCCATAATCCTTTGCCCGGACTCATCAGCACTCACTGTTTGCACCTGTGTCTCATTTACCCTGTCTGCTCACCCTATATAGTCTGGTTTAGTTTGTCATTCTTGGCGAAGTCTTGTAAGTGCATCTCTGAGCGTTTCTCCTGTTTATATGTATCTTGGTTTTTGGACTCTTAGCCTGTGTTCTGGATTACCCTTTTGCCTGTGTTCTCTGCCTTGTTGTTTAGTCGGACTGATTGCCTGTGTGACCCTTGCCTGCTGTCTGATTTCGATTTTGGACTTTCCAAATAAACACTGCATTTGGATCCTCACTTAGTCTCAGAGCAGTTCCGTAACAGCTGTTTATGAATTAAAAGTCTGCAAAGTTTCCTTTTTGTGTGTCATCTGGGCATTTTGACACTCAAAAATGTCATATATGCCTTGAGCTAGCTGAATTCAAAGTGCTGGAAATCACACTTTCTGGGTGGAAAAAATGTAGTGGTTAACTATCTGAGCTTGGTACTTAGAGGCTGCAGGTTAAATCCCTGAAAAGAGTGATCCATAAATGAACATTAATGTTGAACAAGAAAGTAAATGTGAATTGCCATTTTACTTACATAATGTTAGATTTTATATATCATGTGTCATCATATGATATATCATTTTATATATCAGGAAAGGATTGGATTGTGAAATCATGTGATCCTAACATGGTCACCACAATGATGGAATGCGCTCCATGTAAAACAAACAGCTTATTCTATCCCACTGATATGCCTCTAACTTCTTCAATTTAATCAAACTTGCAGCAAAGTTGTTGTTGCCTTTTACAGGCTGACAGACATGTAATTGATACCTGATGCTGATGTATCCATTTTCTCTAGTTGTATGCCGTGTCTGAAAAAGACTAAGATTTACAGTCAGGATTCATTTCCTAATTATATATTATCAGCCTCAGTAAAAAACGACCTGAGGTTAAAAAGCATATGCCATAAGATTGACGGACATTCCTAGCTTACTGTATTATAAATAAGAAAACATTTAAGCGGTCATAAAATATATTTTTTTAAATATTAGATATTTGACCTTTTTATGAAAAGACTTCTTTTGTCAAACAGAGAAACATTTTATTTATATATTTTATTTTATATTTATATATTTCTTTTTTAGAAAACATTTTTGAAAATAATGATTAAGTTACCTGATATTTTTCAGAATTTAACATATCAGATATTTGACCTTTTTAAGAAAAGCATCTTTCGGAACGTCAAACATAGAAACCCCCTCAAAATCCTTAATATTTGTGACCCTGGACCACAAAACCAGTCTTAAGTCGCTGGGGTATATTTGTAGCAATAGCCAAAAATACATTGTATGGGTCAAAATTATCGATTTTTCTTTTATGCCAAAAATCATTAGAATATTAAGTAAAGACCATGAAGATATTTTGTAAATTTCCTACCATAAATATATCAAAACTTAATTTTTGATTAGTAATATGCATTGAACTTCATTTGGACAACTTTAAAGACAATTTTCTCAATATTTTGATTTATTTTGCACCCTCAGATTCCAGATTTTCAAATCGTTGTATCTCGGCCAAAAGAATATATATATATATATATATATATATATATATATATATTAGAAAACATTTGGAAGATAACGATGAAGTTAATGTGTATCCATGGTGCAAGGAAAGTATATAGCACTTCTTACTTAATGGTAAAAACTTTTTTTTTTTTTTTTTTAGAAAAAGGTATCCCTGTTTTTCAAAAACGTATAAAACTAAAATTAATTTAAAAATGTAGTTTCTAAAAACGGACATGTGTTTTAATCTAAATGTTAAAAGGAATTATCTTTTTATAAGACGTAGGGCATGCTTATTTTTACATAAACTCATACAAATGGCTCTGAGATTAGCCTAAACGTTTTCCACACTAGCTAAATTTCTATTCTTCTTCTATAAGCTCTTTGACAGTTGATGTTAACCAAAGGAATGAACATGGCACAGTTACAAGAGATTCAGAAGTAAAGTTTTAGCCATTTGTCTAATCGTAAAACACCTGTTTGAGAGAATGCTGAACGCATAAATCTAATAGGAATTTGACTCGTCTGTCTTAAATGACTGCAAGGTGGATTTAAACAGAGCTGCTGCCAACACGTCATCGTGTGATGCTCAAACACATTCACACCTCATCTTCTGGTCCTCCAGCATATTCTACCTTCTTGTCGCTCCAGCAGCCCTCGTTGTCTGCCTGAACTCTCACCCTGGTGGTCGGGAAATGTCACAGAGAGGCCCGTGCCGCAGCAAGGGGGCGTTACGGGGGAAAAACAATTGCCTTTATTGTTGTATTTTCACGCATTTCGCGTTTTCTTAGTCTTACCACTAGAATAAGCATCAAAAACGACCACCACGCCGACCGCCAAGTCCGATGGTGTAGCATCCAGCGTAGACCGCTGTTCGCATCCTTCATCTGTCTCGTCTCGTATTGCAATCATTGCCAAACATGTGAGTAGCAACCGCAGCTGAATTGTTCTGCAGTAGCCTAAACATGTTTTCATGCTGCTGGTACAGCGCGAGCTCGATCGCATCCTGCTCTCATTCATCTCATTAGTTTGCGTGAATGTGCTGTGTTTGATACACAATAGTTACTAGCATCCAGCTGCAAACGGTTAGTGGTAGTATAACACTAACGTTGATACAAAGGCTGGAACATAGCGAGCCATCTCCTAGAACGCCGCAAGAGTTGCTTTTACTGGTTCGACTTGTACTTTGCTTTTCTGTCTGAGCATTAGAAAAGCTAGTCCCGCAGATTTGTGCTGCATTTATCCGGTTTTTCGACTGATTCTTGGCGGTGATGTGCTACAAGACGTTCAAGTTGCATCTGTTTGTCACTCAGTGTCTATTCAAGAGACCTGCTGCACGAGATTCGGATGTAAGCTTCTGGGTTATTGCATGAACTGCAGACAAAAACACAATTTTCCAGGTGCCAAACGCGTCTTGTCCCGCATGACAGACTTCAGAGAATCAAATGTGGATTTCAGGTTCGACTATGCGAACTGCTGTGTGAGGCACGAAAGGTTGTGTGGCCTGATGTTATGAACTGACATGCTCATAAGAGTTCAAATATTCAATGCATTATCAAGCTATTATTTCCTTGTTCTGTCTACATTACGCAGATATACTGTGTATGTTAGTTTGGGTGTATGTGAAAAGCAACTTTATGACTGGGCCTTCATGTGATGACAAACTTTATGAATGAATTGCACATGAATGATACTGAAGAGTCTGGCACACTTTTAAAATGCTGCCATCTTCCATCATTAAACCTTTTACATTTAATCATGCATGCTTCATTTTGCTGAACAATGTTATGCTGCTGTTTTGAGATGCTCATGATACTATATTGACCAGTGTGAGCACTGAAATAGTAATTTTGAGTCTGGTTAAATTTGAAAATAATAATAGACATAAAACAGACAACAAATATAATTATATAATGTATTTTATATTATCATTATATCATGTATATACTATAGTAGTTAATAGTTGAGAAATTTCCTTTAATGTAACGTTGGCATTCATAAACTTAGAATTTCTCTCTCTCTCTCACTCTGTTTAATGTCATTCATTTTGACCTGCTTAGAAATAAAATTAAGATTCAGTTAATGAAAGGCTTTAAAATCATGTTTATTGGAACAGAGATTCTATTAGATAGGATTTAGTGGTTATTACACACTAAGTAACGACACCTGATGGAATTTTGTCTGTGGGTTTTAATATAATAATGCATCCTTACAGTACCTTAACTAAGCAAAGATTTACTACAGACACAGTAATACAGCAATGCATGAATATGGTACTCTGTACTCATAGAGGTATTTGTGTACTTTGTGTTTGGATGGATTCATAACATCAACGCAAAACCTCATATATTAATAAAGCAAATACAAAAATCTAACTTTTGTGTGGTGAGATCATGCACTTAAAAGTTGCATTTTTACTGCATTTTCCATGTGTTTCTACATGTCAGCATCATTTTTACATTAAAGGGATACTTAATTCAAAAACTAAAATTATGTCATTATTTACTCACCCTCATGTTGTTCCAAACCTGTATGAATTTCTTTCTTCTATTGAACACAAAAGAAGATATTTTGAAGAATGTTGGGAACCATACAGCTGCTGGTAGCCATTTACTTCCATTATATTTTTTTTTACATACTGTGGAACTCAATGGCTACCAGCAACTGTTTGATTACCAACATTCTTCAAAATATCTTGAGGATGAGTAAATGATGACAGAATTTAATTTTTTTGGGTGAACTATCCCTTTAAATTGGAATAGCACAGAACTGATTTTTTCTTTTTCTTTTCTTTGCTGAAGCCACCTGAAATATAAATGGTGCTTATCAGTTATTTTATCTAAGTAGCTTTCTGTGCATATCTTATCGGCTGAAGGTGAAACCAGTTGTAGGCTGATTCCACTTGAGAATAACATTCCCAGTATAAAGTAATTACATTTTATTTATCCAGTGGTAGTCAGAGGAGACAGAGCAACTTCATTCCCTGTATCTTAATCACAGCTCAGGCCTTTTTGAGAAAGAGGACAGTATACTCAAAGGATTGTACATCAAGTCCTTTCTTTTTCTCTGCTTCATAGGAAAAATGAAACATTTGCGCCCTGGGACTGGATGCTCTTACCAGCACACCCCACTTCCACCATGACACCCAGCAGAGGATTCTGGGATTGACACAAGCATCACTCCCACTGATGGCCTGGACCAGGTGAGCATATAAGCGTGCTTTTTGTCTTCAGTCATCTCTTCATGCATTACCTATTTATTTTACTTAAAACAATGTTTGCTTATTAACTTTCAGTTGTCTCCATATAGTCCCAGCAATATATAATCTGTTTGTTCCTGTTTAAGGTTTCAGCTGGCCTGCTGAAGCTATGGGGAGCTGCTGGAGCTGTCTATACAGAGACGCTATCCAAGACAACCATCTCAACAAATTTAAGGTGCAATTCACAAGACACATTCTGATAAAAACAAACCTTAAAAAAGCAGTGTGGCAGTAATTATAAATTTTAAGTGCAACATTTGAGAATAGTTCGCCTAGTAGAGTATTGCTATGATAACCTGTTATGTCTGGCAGGTGACTAATGTGGACGATGAGGGGAATGAGTTGGGCTCAGGAACCATGGAGCTCACACAGACAGAGCTCATTCTGCACACACGCAAACGTGATGCCATCCGGTGGCCATACCTTTGCCTGCGTCGATACGGTTACGATTCCAACCTCTTCTCTTTCGAGAGTGGCCGTCGATGTCAGACAGGACAAGGTGAGATGATTTTTACTTCTACTTTGTGCAGATTTAAGACTAAATTGTGTGTAAATACCAAATACCAAATACCAAAACCTTCTGTGAACCTTTTATATTTGGTGGTTGATTTGGCTACTTAAATGGATAGTTCACCCAAAAATAAAGATTCTGTTATAATTTACTCATCCTCATGTTGTTCCAAACCCATTAGACTTTGGTTAATCTTTGAAACACAAATTAAGATAGTTTTAATGAAACCTGAGAGTTTTCTGTCCCTCTATTGAAAGTCCAAGTAACATAATCTTAAAAGATAAAAAAAAAGGTCATAAAGGCCATCATAAAACAAATCCATATGAATCGAGTGGTTTAATCCATACCTTGTGACAAGATACGATTGCTTTGAATGGTATGATTTAATTTAGGCTTTTATCGAAAGATTAACCCTTTTGATGGGAAGTCGTGGCCTAATGGTTAGAGAGTCGGACTCGTAACCCAAAGGTTACGGGTTCATTTATTTTATTTTATTTAGGTTTTTATTTACATCTAAACAATGATCACATATATACATATATACATACACACACATATTGCAAACATGGAAGCTTATGCTGACACGGATTGTTCTAGCACATGACGCACAAGTGACACACACACAAGCTTCTGTGTTTACCATATGTGATTTGCTATATGTATGTGTTTATTTGTGCATAAAAGCCTATATTAAATCTGTTTATCATATAAAGTGATCGTATCTCTTCACAAGACTTGGATTAAATCCCTTGATTCATATGAATTTGTCTCACAACACCTTTATAAACTTTTTTTGATCTTTTGGTGGTAATACTTTAGTTTAGGGACCAATTCTCACTATTAACCAGTTGTTTATTAGCATGCATATTGGCTGTTTATTAGTACTTATTTCTGCATGACCATATTTTAAATCCCTTAACCTTACCCCATACCTAGAATTAACAACTAACTTGATAACTATTAATAGGCAGCAAATTAAGAGTTTATTGAGTCAAAAGACTTAATAACGGTAGTTAATAGTGAGAATTGATCCCTGAACTAAAGTGTGACCGATTTGGTTACCTGGACTTTCAATGCAGGGACAGAAACCTCTCAGGTTTCATTAAAAATATATTAATTTTCCAATGGGTTTGGAACGACATGAGGGTGAGTACATTTAAATTTTTAGGTGAACTACCCTTTTTAATGTGTCTTGTAGTAATATTAGTTATAGTTAAATTAAGTTCAGTTTAATGCTCTCATCCTAATTTAGGATTTGTGTGCCAATATATTTTTGCACCTTCCCCCATGCATGAAAGTAACACTCCACCTATGCATTTATTATAATTTTTTTGCTATTTTCTTGCATGTTTGACAGGGATCTTTGCATTCAAGTGTTCTCGTGCAGAAGAGATTTTCAACCTGCTGCAGGAGTTGATGCAATGTAACAGCATCAATGTGGTGGAGGAGCCCATGATCATGACCCGGCCCGGGCATGCACCAGAGATGGACATGCCTCGAACTCCACAGACACCCAATAGTGAGTTGAAATATCTACACACTTGACCACACAGGGTTTCATATATACATATATGTGTAAAACAAAACTGTAGTCATCAGTTGATCAGTCTTTACTGTTTTAATAGGGTCAAAATATTTGAACAGTGGGATCATGTTAGATATCAGTTATGAAATATGGATAGACAAGTTAATTGTTATGTCACGTCAATGGTATTGCTTTTTTTAGCTGTAGAATTTAAACACCTAGCCACCTGTATTTACATATTTTCACACTCCATTCATTAAATGTCTCTCACAACATTATTTTTATTTTCAGGTGTGCTGTGAAGCATTGACATTTCTGTCATAACATTGACATTATGAGATTTTTATAACATAATATGTAACTAGTCATCATTTTAGCTTTTTGGAATTCAAGTTTATTTGTATAGCGCTTTCACAATACATACTGTTTCAAAGCAGCTTTACAGAAAATGCTTGTTTCAATGTTACAATTCACTTAAATAGTCATAGTGAATTTTTGAAAGCATATCTATTCTATGTAGGTATGTATAATTATTTTAAAGACCCCAAAGAAACAAAATTGGAGTTTTGTGGCTTTTAGTCTGTTAGCATTAGGCTTTTGTTAGACAGGCCATTGAGGTCATAGGCAAAATGGTCCAAAAATATTGATTCATTCACACGTTCTTGATGACATATCTTGCCCACATATCAACAGAAAGTAGCTTATAGGAGGAAGACCTAAATGTTACCTGCTTATGTGTACTGTGCTTTGGTCTTTTTGTGTAGCCCCTGCATTCCCAATGCAGGGTTTTCCTAATGGATTCCCAGGATACCCAATCAGTGCAGACTCATCGCAGCCCTCTCTCACCAACGACCACAGACACAGCCTCATGGGACTGGATGACCATGTGAGAACAAACACCTGCCTTTGCACACATACAGTAGCCTCAAAAAGTATCTGGATGCTCAAGCAGCATTGCATTAGACAAATAAACAAATAATGTTAGACCTTTTCTCAAAACAATTTGTTTTATTCATTTTTGCTTGAAAAGTATGTTGTGCTACTTTATATTAAGTAAATGACACTTGATTTGATGTTGTGTTATCTAATGTAGTTGACATTAATATGCGTAAGTGTGTCTTAAATTAAAAAAATAAAAACTTTTGAGGGCTTTGTACATTTGAATAATAATATTACTTAACTTGAAATTAATTAGATGAATTGGACCCTTTTCACATTTCTGGGGTTCTCAGAAGCAGGAGTCATTATAGATTGGTAAACTTCTCTAGTGGTGATCGGAAACAACTATAATTTTTGTATTTCCATTCGCCCCAATAGCAAAAGAAAAAAATCCATGATAGCGTTTCTATGACTTTCCATAAGAAGAAAAAAAAAATTTGCAGACCGATTATGTTTGTTAGAAGAGAAAAAGGTGTCAAATTTGCTGTCACTTCGTTAACCACTGTATTAGAAACACTCACACAGCAGAATTAACCAGTTTTCATTCATTTAATGCCAAGGTAATAAAACGCAAAGTATAGTGTTATTGTTACGGAGCTGACGAGACGAGAGGCGTGCGGATCCATGTGCAAGCTTTTATTAATAAACATAGTCAAAAACACAGGGAGGGTCGAACAACAGCAAACAGGTATGGTACAGGCAAGACAAAAGAGCAATCCTAAACGGGCTTGAGTCAGACGACAGCAACGTAATCCAGAGGGTTTGACAAGAGGGGTAATCCGTAAACGTGAGCATAAGGCCAGTAAAGTAGATATCAGCTATCAAAGTGATAAACACTAAACAATACCAGGCGTTGAATGGTGGTGTGAGACTGATTTATATAGTGTGTGTTATTGGTAGCAGCTGTGTGTGATTGGTTTCAGGTGAGCTTGTGATTAGTGCAATGGAGCATGGGAAATGTAGTCCAGGGTGATGTGTAACAGTCTGTAGTTTGAGAGTCCATGTGGAGAGCAGGTGACCTCTGGTGGTGAGAGAATGGAAGTTTATAGACCGGATTCGTGACAGTTATAAATCTACATAATTTTTTTAAATGAAAACATAAAAAACTCTTTTAGATTTACGATATTATCTGTGGAAACACATCATCACAGTCTGTAATAAGAGTCTATTTACCAATGGACAGTTCAGATCCTTTGCTTCAAAATTGGAAGTAATAATGTAAAATTTAGTCCAGGTAAATAGTGTGCCATCAGTCATTTAAACATCAATTTAACTACCTTTTCTCGTTTGTTTCCAGACCCATACATATGTGAATACAGTGGGCATGGAAACTGACCTCTCAAGCCGCCACTGTGTCCACTCCCTGCCCGAAGTGCGGCCCACCACCTTCCCGGAAACCTCAACTACCACCACCATACGTGGGGGCCCAGTCCCAGGCCAGCCCAGCATGCACTGTTGCTCCCTGGACGACCCTCACAAAGACCCTCAGGTCTTCCTCCAGCCTGGAGCCCAGGAGGTGAAGTTCATGTTAGGTCCGACCCCAGCACAGCGCCACCTAATGGAAAGAGACAGAGACCGCCACATCACTCACCCGATTCGAGCACCAGACGGCAGCTCCGAAACAGAAGGAGAGGAGACTCAGTCCGTACACATGTGCAACACGCACTCTTACCACCATTGTCATCATCTAATCCACCGACACCCTAGCATGGAGCCTTGCCCGGAAAGCCAGCTGACATATGAGAATATCAACGGACTCCGTGGGGCACGTAGGCAAAGGCTGAGTCCGAGCACTGTGTCTCAATCTCAGTCTTTGGGCTCCAGTAGCAGTAGCAGCACCACCGGTGATTCCCGCACACACACGCATCCGCACTCCCTCCCGCTCACGCACACACACTCTTCCGCGCTGCCTCCACAGGGATATGGGTGTGACCGGGGAATGGGGGTCGGTGGTCATCGGCGCACCGCGTTGCTCAACTATGAGAACCTTCCGTCACTCCCCCCGGTTTGGGAATATCGTGCGCTTCAGCGTGAGGAAGAAGAGGATCAGGATGAAGACGAGGATGAGGACGAGTATGAGGAGGAAGAGGAAGAAGAATATGATGAGTATGAGTATTCCGAAGGGCCCACAACCCCAAATGGATACCATCAAGAGAGTGGTGGCAGCAGTGGTATTCATCGTGATGCCCTGCAGAACTATGTCAACACTGAACAGGTGCGTCAACAAGAGCATGAGCAAATACATGTAGAGAATATGCCAAATCTAATTCCAGGGTAATATCAGGGAATTGCAAAATACTGATTTCCAGGCCTGGGAAGTTATGTGAATAAGTTAAATTTAATGGGACGTGGCAGTGCCACCTGCGAGCAGCACAGCCGTCACCCGCCTCCTCCTCCTCCATCTCGCCAGCTCAACTACATCCAGGTGGACCTGGAGGGTGAGCCCTCCGGTTGCTCGGGACATGGAGGAGGGGCTCCGGTACCACAGAGACCTCCTCCCCTCAAACGTGGCATGGCTGCCGCCGCAGCGGCTCCGTCTTCCCGCCGAGGAGAATGCTACGCCGTGATTGACCTAAAGAAGACAGCAGCCATGTCCAACCTACAGAAGGCTATCCCTCGGGATGACGGCACCTCACGGAAGACACGCCACAACAGTACCGACTTGCCTCTGTGAGAGGGAAAAAGAGAGTTACAGGTATGACAAGAATACAAATGAGGGAAAATGTTCATTAAAGAAAGTTTTGGTGGTATTTTCCTCCCACCATTATAGTGAAGCCTCTATTTTCTCATTTTCTACACTCATACCAACTGCTGCTTGATGAAATAGTAACTCCATTGAGTAGAACACTGAACATTTTATTAAATTTTTTTCTCACATTTTGCGTGGGAAGGTTGGGAGATGATAGTTGACTACTTATCACCGTTGTTTTTGGTTGCTGTCTGGGCTTTGGGCCAAAGAATTGGGTTCAGAAAAAATGCTTCATTCAGGAAACAATCTGCAGTGTCTTAATCCTTTTTTCAGTTTTGTTTTGTTTGTTTGTTTTTTATATTTGTCATTTATGGTTTGTTGATTTAAAGGGATAGGTCACCCAAAAACTAAAGACAGCGGTCTGCTAGCTAGATAACTAAAATATCATATATATTTTGAGTGATATTAAGATGAATAGATGATTTTTAGGTGAACTATTCCTTTTATTCCTTTTCAGTAAGGCAGCATAGTATTTTGACACTTGAGCAGAACGGACTTGAAACCACCATAAGTGTTTCATTACCACATGTAAGATAATATCAAAAATATCAAAATATATAAAAGTTTCTTCCGAAACTAACTGAAGACAAGCTCTTCGTCATCATAAAGATACTCCAGCAGTCTCTCTCATTGTCTGTTTCAGTTCCCATATGTAGCTATGTGGAGGCTGCAACAAGGATGAAGAGGCTAATTATTCAGTATTTGTATGCCACTTGATTCTTTTATCCCCAGGAATTGATTTGATCAATTCAGTTTGCACTTATTGGTCTCAAATTGTAACTGAGCCTCCAGTTATTTCATAATTCCCCACTAAGTTATGGCAAAATAAAGTTTACACAATTAAAAGTAATTCTTCAGAACATGATCCATTGTATCTCTTTGGGTTTGTGGTGGTTTTGAAATAGAGATTTCTATGTTTTAAAGTGCTCTGTTTTGAGTACTAAATCCAGACTTCGGCCCAGCAAAACATGGAAAGGGAGGATAATTCTGATCCAAAAATGAGCTTATTTTGTTCAGTATCTGCTCAAGCTTTTGCTCTTAGCACCATTGATAGTCCTTTTTTATTTTACTATTTTTTCTCTTTTCCAATCAGAACATGGTCAGATATCAGATTTCACAGAAATTGAAAGGAAAGAACAATTTAAAACAAGACATTTGCATTGAAAAGTAAGTAAATAAATATTTTCAAGTAAAAAAAAAAAAAAGTTAAAGTATGATACAATAAAAAAACTGCTATGCTCACATCCCCAAAGTGACAATATACCTGAGAGTGACAAATCTCTGTGAATCTGAGAGTGTATTTATGTACATCTATGTTTTGTAAAGCTACGTAAAGCACCATATGCATATTCAGAGGTGAGAATGTTAATTATTTTTTTATATCTTAAAAAGTATGCCAGGAATCATGAGGCAAAACATATTTATTTAATTTCGAATTATTTATCTATCTAGCTGTCTGTTAGTTTATTTATTCATTTATTTATTGTTTCGTATTTGAATTATTCATACAAGTAGATAACATGTTGTTAGATTAGTCGTTTTAGAGATACCAAAGGTGGTATGGGAGACCACAGAATCTACCTTGGTATTAGTTAATGTCTTTTTTAAACTGCAGTTTCATGTTGAATAATAACTGTATTTGAACATATTGTGCCAAAAATATAATGATATCACTGAAATATGTGCCATTGGAAAATGTTGAATTTTAGGGCTAACAATCAGCAAAATGTAAAACATAAATGCAGCTGTTCTTTACAATTACATCATGATCAGTTCAGGGCTTGATAATATTTTGTCTATAAGTACACTAAAAAACTAGACATGTCAGTGTATTCCCAATGAAATCCCATTGTATCTATCCTAATTAGTTAAAGGTGATATTTTATAGTCTCTAACATTACTGCTGTTTTTCATTGGAATTTCATAAATCAGCTATTTTTATAACACAGTTAGTGTTCTAATATGGTTATGCATATTTTGTTTTTCAATTTTAGCATTTGCATTCTTATGGTTGTTTATTCAGCCCTAAAATGAATTTATCTCTCACCAACGATACTGATGTAGCTATACATTTCTGATGTTATGAAAATTTTGCTAGGGACCTCCAATAGCTGAGGTTTTTATCTTACTTGCTGGGCGTGGATGTAGACCCAGTTTTTCAAAATCTTACTGGCAGCCATATTGTTCTGAGCGCAGGGCTTTGTGGGCCTTACTTATTGTACACATATTTTTAGCAAAAAGTTGATCATAACTGATATCTTATAGAAATATCTAATGTGAGATGGGTTGTACTTACTATTTTAACTCCATTGGAAACTAACGACATCACAGTAGATTTAAATGTTTTGCCAGAAGCCATAATTGAAAGAAAATATTTTATGGGTCAGCTACCAGTATCTTATTTTTTAAGGAAAATGTTCAGAGTAATAAATGTAATAAATGTGATTTATTTTTCTATCACCAAAATTTTCAAATTTAAAAAAAAGTGAAAATAACTGATTTAAAGATTATATGCTACATCGTTGTGACGTTTTCATTTTGAGAGCCTTGCAGTTCAATACAATATTGCTGCCAAATAGTAAATCCAAATAAAATCAACATAATACACTCACAATCATATTTACATACTTATTGTACTTTAAGAATGCGATGATGAACTATTTGGACATTTTAGACACTTTTCAGAGGATCAATCTAGTTTTTAACATCTATATTTTGGTATTGTGGTATGATAAACATTTCGCAATAACAGCTAATGGATTCATATCAGAATTTGTTTGAGTTGCTCAAGAACATGTTCTGTGATACAAGTCACAGTTGTGTGTGTATTCAGAAAGGACTGGATCAGCAGTGGGTTTACTGTCTTTCTCAGGCCTCATCTTGATAAACATGCGCGCTATATGTGTATTTAAACCAGGCTTGAGGGAAAAAAATATCTAGTCATCTTGTCTGTAGGTGTGGGATCATAGAGAACTTGATTGTGCCATAAGTGATTTTTGTCCACTCTTTTAAAATAACGTGTAGCTATAGTGGAAATTTAAAGGTAGATTGTGCCATAAGTGATTTTCGTCCACTCTTTTAAAATAACGTGTAGCTATTGTGGGAATTTAAAGGTACAGTAGCACATACTAACTAGAATCCTGTGTTGACTTTGATTGCGTGGGGCCGCTTTGGAGTGTAAGTGCTTGTTTTGTTGGTTGGTTGGTTTAGTTGTTTTATGTTTTTATACCTTCCATAAACCTCATTTATTTTATTCTTTATCAAGGGCAATTAGCCTTTGAGTTACATGTTAGACCCAGGTTAAATGCACTGAAATTGTAATTGGGTGAGCAATCATCTGAAAGTACTGTAAATGCCTATGTGAAATCATGTTTTTTTTTTTTCAAAATTGACCAAGAAGTATAATGATTGAATGTGCTTATTGACCTAAATGGGAAAGAGTTTAAACCTTTCAGTTTTTTTGTTTCCATGAAAACAACATTGAACCTCTTAGTTATGGAATGCCAACTCTCATCGAGTGATTATAATTGAGTTTCTCATCTAAACCTGGGATGGTATTCCACTTGAAGAGGGTTTCGCAGTGACCTTATCGAATGACCTGTCCTATTGGCAGTAAACTTACATTGTCATAATAAAGCTTAGGTGAAGCTCAATGACTGTGATGTACTGTACATTAATGTGAATGTGTCTCAAATGTGTCAGAGAACGAGAGCTGCCCATGCATGGACTCTTTACCGGAGACTGCATTTCTGAAGCTCCTCAAACTGTCTCGCTCTCAAACCATCTTACTCTCTGTATGAATGTACCATGCAGAGATGGACTTGTAAAATGCTCAGATGAGGTGATTTACACTCAATGTTTCTATCCTCCCTGATGAAAAGATGTGTTAATGTTAATGTTTCGTCTCAGAAATTCCGATTTCAATTCGATTTTTTGATTATGTTTCTTTATATACAGTATTTACATTTTCTTGTAAGTATGTAATTCTGTGTATGTACATAACATATATGGGTATGCAGTTGTAGTCAGCTTCTCCTGTGTTCGTTTGTGTTGGCGCAACAGACACTACTTTTGCCACAGCCATTTGTAGAAAGAGCAACTCCTTGACAGTCATTCCATTAGATGGACATTGCAGTCTCTATAAACAGATCAGAGATCTCATATAGTCTGTTGATGTTGCAGTTGCAACCCTTCCCCATTCTTACAATGCAAAGCAGGCATGCTCCATGTTGAATGTTATTTTCAGTCATATAAACTTTTGAAGAGAAAGGCTTGTATAATAAAAATGAATGTGATTAAATGTAATGTCAACATTAAAACTGGAAATGTCATCAAGTGTTTTTCTCTGATGCATGTTTGAATGTCTGAGAACAAGATGGATCGCTCTCGAAAGAAACAGAAATGGTGAACATTATGTACTCTCCTTTTCTATTGTGAGCTGTCTACGTAGTACACTAGATGGCAGCAAAGGCTACAATAACGTAAAAGAAGAACAAAGAAACGTCTGGTTTAGACTTTTTCAATGAGAAAACACACACACACACTAAAAAACGAACAAGGGAATAAACACGTTCTAAAACAATATTTTTTTACGTAAATTTAAATTAATTTAATAAAAACATGTTAATTAAACATTTATTATTAATCATCTACATTTTTATTAATGGTGTTTGCTGAGGCATTATTACTATTGCTGAATGGGTTGGAATATATAAAATATCAGGTATGGTTATCTTTGTTTTATTTTAAATGTTTAGAGTAAGAAAAGTGATGTTTATATCACCAAAATTTCCAATTTAAAGCAGTTTAAAAAGGAGAAAATGATCAATCTAATAAAGATTATGTGCTCCTCTCGTTTGATCATTATTACATTTTCATGTGGAGAGCCTTGCAGTTCAATACTGCTGCCAAATAGTAAAACCAAATAAAGTCATCATATTACACTCACAATCACAATAAGGCTACATTTTGTACTTGAAACACTTTCAGACACTTTTCAGGGGGTCAGCCTAGTTTTAACATCTATATTTTGGTATGAAAAAAACATTTGTCAATATTTTGGATTTGAACAAACTATTTAAAAATGACTGTTTAAAACGTAATGTAT